TGAATACTTGGATGAGTTTTAGGATTCCTACATATAAAGTAACAAAAATATAAAATGATTGTTTCAAAACCGGCAAACAACTGCAGGATGCATGTAATATAGCACATTAATTTAAGCTTTAACATCATGTACAATGGTTTTCTTAGAAAAATGTTTCAATGATGTGTTTTGGGTAATTGTCTTGAAGTGGGCGATGCATGCAAACGACAGAGTTAAATTTCATATGAGCTGGTTATTGAAAGTTTTGCACGTATTGTCTACAATACTTTGAAACGGAAACGAAATCAGTTCCATGTCAACGTTTGGTCCAATTTGATTTAAAATGTTGAGTGTCTCACATTTTAAAAAGCCCAGGAGGTGAGGAGAGGTAACAAACAATGTTAATCGCCGAGCAAATTTACCTTTTGTTGGCCACAAATTATGTATATTTCGACCAACAGCCCATATTCCAGCATATACAGCTACGTCCCTCGAAGGGGTGAAAAAAAAACTGAAACCAGTTAATATATATAATACAAAGTGAGATACCTTACAGCTCTTAACTGACACGTATCGGCATTTGATGTCAGCAGTTGATCAGCTTTGTCTTCGACTCTTTGTACTCATACTTCAGTCTTGTTCATATATTCTTTTATATAGTAGTACTTTTAACGGTAATGCTCAATGTCTATTCTATAGCTTTTTGAGAAAAAATGTAATTTGTGAGACAAGTATAAAGTGTAGACAAATATATATTATGTCGCAGTTTCAAGGGAATACCACACAAACTGAATAGTGAATTTGGCACCCTTGGTGCACATTGTATAACATGCAAATTTCTTTATCATCAAGCGACTGTATTCAAGTGGTGCATTTTCCTTTCTGGACACGTACTGCGTACTTCGTGGGGAAAGATTCGCATCATTAACCACATGTATACATACGGTATAATTGGGGTGGAAGCGAAATATTGAATATTTAATAACTGCATGGGTTGCATGGGATTGAAAGAAGTTTGAATATGAATATTTGAGGTAGGAATATGAATATTTAGGTTCGGAATATGCATGTTGGAAAAAATTAAAATTAATATTTGCCTTAGCCCTTATCCATCTTTGTCGGCAGGTATTTTTGGCCTTTATAACCGTTTAGTAATATTGAAGATATAGGAATATTCAATAGTGCATGCAGTTTTAATTGCCATAGCGTACATACAACTTGGTATGTTCGACATTTTAAACGAGCATTTCTGACATTAAAGTTTGAAAGCATATATATATATATTTAAAAAACTCATTAATAATTCAGGAGCAAAACACAAAGAAAAATCATAAGCGTGTCGTGGTTTTATATGTGATAAAAAATCATGTTAATTTACACAAACTTTAGCTTTGATTTTCTCGGTTTAGACAAAGTTTATTTTAAAAATTACTTCGTCAATGAACTCGTATAAGATGAGTCGTTTTTTAAGCCATTTAAAGCACTTGTAGTCGTGTTTTATCACATATAAAACACTCCGCTACGCGTCGTGTTTTATATGTGATAAAACACTCCTACGCGTGCTTTAAATAGTACTTAATATATATATACATATATATATATATATATATATATATATATATATTTTTATATATTTATCAGCGATTCCCCTGATATTGGTGGTATCTTTGCATTTTTGCGTGAACAATATCAGTCAATGATTTTTTCTGTGTTGGTGTAATGTGTACTCAGGTGAATATGATTATATATATATATATATATATATATATATATATATATATATACATTTATCAGCGATTCCCCTGATATTGGTGGTATCTTTGCATTTTTGCGTGAACAATATCAGTCAATGATTTTTTCTGTGTTGGTGTAATGTGTACTCAGGTGAATATGATGCTTGTGATGTTACTCTGAGTGTATATCCACACCGGACAAGCTTGAAAAATATGCCTGTCCACGGTGGGAATCGAACCTACGACCTTTGGAATACTAGCCCAATGCTCTGCCAACTGAGCTACGCGGTCAGGTCGGTTCGAGTATGTGATATTTTGGAACAGAATCTAGTTCCTTCGATATCAATGTAATCTAGTAATCATGATTTTTTATGTGTTGGTCCAAAGGTCGTAGGTTCGATTCCCACCGTGGTCAGGCATATTTTTCAAGCTTGCCTGGTGCGGATATACACTCAGAGTAACATCACAAGCATCAATATCAGTCAAGTTATCTTGAAGACTCACGAGCGGCGCATAGCAATGACTATATGATCACCGGGCTGTCGATATGATTTTATTAACAAAATATATAGTTTTTACACGCCAATATTATGACTAATAGATTGGTCTGAAATTGGGTATTGAATGTCGTTAGGTATATTCTGCTTAAATAGAGTGTAACTGCAGGGATGCCGGAACCACGGGTGCAGCGGGTGCAAGTGTGCCTTTTGCATTTTCAACTTTGTGGGTGCAGTGCGGGTGCAGACTATGGGTGTATCGGGTGCACAAAACGTTTACAACAGACAGAATTAAACGTCGTTCGAGGATGTGTGGGGGTGTTCCACCCCCCAGTCGTCAGGAATACGGCAAAGTTGTTATCTATTTGGCGAAAGGTGAAACGGAAAGCATTATACTTATGGAATTTTTGGCAAGAAATTACGGAGGAATTGTGCCTAAATAATTGTATTCGGTCCGAAAAAAATTGGTGACGGGGAGGGAGGTTGACACGAATGTAGGATCATGACGCCCTTTCATTTTCATTGGTGCCCTTTTATTAAGGAGTATGCCCTCTTGTTAACCAATTGCACCCCTTGCCCTCAGCAACTTCCGGCATCCCTGAGTGTAAGAACGTTGTAATAGCCTGGAACCACATAAACCACGGAAGTTTGCCCCTTTGGTTGGCAGGGCTGTAAAGACTGTAAACCAAATCACGATGGGCCGGTCACGAAAATTTTGATATCTAATGTCTCTTCTGTGTTCTGAGAAATATTTCGCATACAGAAACCTCGACGTTTCAATACCTTAACCATCCACTGAACCACAGCAACTGTTTCAAGCCACATAGTGAGTGTTCTTAGTGGCTTAGCCTTCGTCCTATTTTCTACTTTTTCACCCAGTTCGGCCGCCTCTGGCGCATCCCTAAAATATGAGAAGTTCCCAGTCTGAGATTAAGATGTCCCGTTCAGTGAATTACCGTGACAGTTTAAGGAGTTTACTTTTATGTTGAAAATACGGTAGAGGGCAGGGAAGGTTTTTGGAGAGAATTGAAACTTCAATGTCAATACAAAAATTTATCTGCTATCTTCAATGAATTTATTATCATTGCCGTAATTGCATCATAAATTCGTAGAAAAAAGGAAAGTTACTGCTTCCCCCTCCCTCCAGCGTCCCTCAGAATGCCAACTGTAGTGCTGAAAACACTTACGTGTATATATTGTGATTACGTGTATAATTGCACATACACTTGTATGTCGAAATTGTAAACTTGAATTTTGGCTGAAATTGTACCATGTATCCACCAAAATTCATGTTACAATGTTGAAAATTGAAGTTGTTAAAAACCATAGTTGTTCCAACTATAAAGTTCTAAATGCAGTGTCTAGTGTTGTAAATTACAACCAATAATGTTGAAAACTCTAATGTCAATTCCGAACTTCGACGAAAACTGTACACAATACTTCGTGAAGTGGCTTGCAAGAGCTCCTTCAGTTTTCTCAGGTGATCTTGCTACTACATTGAGTATGTTGACGACCAAATCTGCTACAAAAATCTCTCAAGATTCATTTAGATTCGATGGAAGGCGTCGGCCAAGTACATTTCTTTTCTTGACTTGACTCACAGCAAGATTGTAGCTTTGTAACTGTAGCAACATTTTCTTTATCTATCTGCACGTAGTTCATGCATGCTATTGCACTGTCGTATAGGCGACTGGTGCTCCTTCTTGCAACAGGATTGTACCTAACCTTTACTGCTTGCACCGACCGATAGGGTTACAGCCGGTTTCTTGACGTCATAGTATCGAAGAATGGCGAGTCAAAAGGTGGCTGCTATATGCACCTTTAGAAAGCCTTGCACTCGATCACGTTGAGCTGTATCCTTCGCATTCAGCTTAGCTCTCAGCTGCAAGTAAGGATAATAAGCGCACGCCCTAATTACTTGTATGATGGACGTTCCTTCAGTTTTTGAAACATATCTTCCTGAATTTTATCCCAACCCAATTTTAATTCTTCAGGTAAACTCGATACTGGATTAATCCTAGGAACGTTTCAACTTCTCTGAGGTTGTTTAATTTGGACTTTCTATTTCGAGTACGGCACGGATTTTCCAGAATTAGTCGTATACTGTCGGCTGTTAACAGGTGACCAACATATGACACTTGGGATTGTCGGGTCTTGCATTTCTTTAAACTAAGCTTCAACTGGTGTGAATCTCTCGTCACGTTATTTCACATTCTCACCCCACATGATGATGTATTCCATAACTGAACTAGGTAATTTTTCGAGCATTTGTGCTATAATTGCTCGTCATGGAACATCTCTGGGACCGTCTTTATTCCAAATAGCAGCCTTGTAAATCGATAGCGCTCAATTCGGTTCAGAAAATGACACGATTAATCGCTTGTCCACGTTCTGTAGAGTTGCAAGAGTCAATTCCAGTCTCGGTACTATTACTGTTTTAAGAGGGGCCACCCATGACTTACACATAACCAAACTGCAACGGACCTTTCCGTCTGTATCTTCTGAATGAAGGTACCCCTCCTAGTGTCTGTCTTACCCACCTGGTTTCTTCCTTCAGATTTACACTTCCAAACCCGGCCTAAGCTGTCCATTTCAGTGTTCCATTGAACGCTTAAGGCTCGATCTTTTAAAAGGTAAACTTTCCAAGTGCAGGTTCACGCATGACCCTCTTCCAGGCTCACCCAATGGCGGATGGGGCAGCACCTCTCTTTCGTTCGATAGCCAATTTGTAAGTTGAAATCCATCACGAGACAATAATTCTAGGACTTTTTTAACTTATTCTTCATTATCATTTTCTTCATTATCTTCTTCACTATCCTCTTCTTCACTATCTTCTTCTTCAATATCTTCTTTTTCTTTATCTTCTTCTTCATTATCTTCTTATTATCTTCTTCTATTTTATCTTCTTCTATTTTATCTTCTTTTTCTTTATCTTCTTCTTCATTATCTTCTTTATTATATCCTTCTATTTTATCTTCTTTTTCTTTATCTTCTGCTTCATTATCTTTTTCTTCATTATCTTTTTCTTCATTATCTTCTTGTTCATTTTCTTCAACAGTCTCCTTCAACGCACAAGAACAACAGCTTTGTGATAATATTGCACCAAACAAATAAACAGTGACTTGACGTTCAACTAGTTCTTTAGAAAGGTCTTCCTCCGGCCGTTGTTTCCATCAAGAATTTGAAGGTTTTTTCCAGGAAATTTAAATCCAGTTTTCATTTATAATACTTCAAAATATATAGTTTCTTCCTAGCTGGTATGTAATAACATAGTCATAAACAGATGGGTCATGATCAGGGACAATGGCAGTGGCCAGTGCCGCCGGGACGGCAGGGGGCAGCATCTTGCACTGGGACCAAAGCAATTAACTCCCTTAAATTTTCTTGACATAAGAATATAAATCCTAGCTGCGTCAATCCCGTATATTATTATGCAATAAAATGTAACACAGCGCTTTTCCAGTCTTACAATTATGACGTCATAGGACCCTTGGGAAAGTTTTTCCCCGGGCCCCGCGCAACCTCTCGGCGGTGGCGTAGGAAGGTAATAATGAGCTTAAGCAAGTGACGTTTTTGACAACACGAACGGCATGAGTAACGTCAGAAGACTGGGTCAAGGGCTGTGATTGGTGAAAAACTTCAACTTTACTTCCGGTCGATGTTCGTGTTGTCAAAAACGTCACTTGCTTAAGCTCACTAATTAAAGTTAGGGAGGCTGAAACTTAGGAGGACATGCTCTCCAAACCGCACTTTCTAGGGGTGAAATTGAATTGGCGGAACTTGGACAGTAACCGTTATAGGGGCCAGTTGTATAAAAAAGTAGTTCAAATTAACTTCAAGAAGTTAAATAGTAGTTTAAAAGCAGTTAAGAATTTCATAGAACCAGCACCAGATAATATGCATTTGTGTGTATTTAAAAAATGCATTAAAATATTTATATTAGAATACATTTGTAGAAAGAACACATTTGCACAATGTATAATAGTTGATGGCTATATGAATATTTACAAAACTGGATTTTATATAATATAAATAATTATATGTACATAATTAATATTATACGATCTCATTTAACCAATAATTTGACGCAATTTGGAATTCAATTCTCTTTCTTTCAATAGCAGCTTCTCGGTATGGGTTTTGTACGCCTCGAATTCCTATAGGAGTATAGAGAAACAAAAATAACTAAGCGCATGTTACACAGGACAATTTTTCTGCAACTTGCAACGCATTTAACTGACACAGAGTAATGTTGTCTTTTCTTGCATTAGTTGCATAACATATCAGTGTGATCATGACAGAAACGATAAAAGAAATATCGGTATTGTAATCGTATATTGATTCGAAATATAGTAAATATACACTCAGGTAAAATCAACTGTGTATTGTAAATATATAAGCACACTCCTTTCAGAATACGAGTGCCTTTCACCATTGAGAACCGGAATTTCATCCTCGCTTCAGTCTTATAGGGTAGTTTCACGCTCTGCTTGTGCAATTGGACTTTCCAGCATAGAAGGAAATTTACCGGTTAGCTTCAAATGAAATTAGTCCACTGCTACACCTTTAACACAAACCATCAAACGATCCGAAATATTTTCTCCGTTAGGTGTTTTGGAAACGATGAAATATTTTCAACTTAAAAAGAGGTTGCTCTTAATCGTTACTGTAAAAATATCTTCAATTTCGACTGAAAATTTCACTTGCAACACTTTTAAGCAGAGTTTCCGCAAAGATTGAAGTCTAATTTAAACTCATGAAAAGCAGCAGAATGGAAAACAGCGGTATAAAAAATTAAGCTAAATCACCTTATCGTGATTAAGTACTTTATCTTCAGCTTTCCTTAACAGCGTCTTCAGTTTCCGCACCTGTGCGTTGGCAGATGTATCCTCCATTTCTTTCCTAAAATGGTTTATATTAATTAAATATAATTCATAATGATTCTCTTAAGCGCCTATATAACCCAAAATTGACTATTTCCAACATTCACTGCTCATGATGTTAACCGAGGATTTATAATCCTCAGTGCGGATAATATGCAATAAATATATTGTAAAACACCGCTTCTCCCGTTTTACAATTATGACGTCAATTCAAGCCCTGATAAAATATTTTTCTTCTTCATGGCAGCAGGCTTCCCAGACCAAAAATTTCCTGCCAATTTTTTTATACTGAATATGAATTTTGGTTGTAATTCAATAACAGAGTCGTATATAAGCCGTATATACTAATTACTAAGTCATGCATATACTACCTCAATAATAAGGAAAATATAGGTTTACTAGAATTAGGAACATGAAGGAATTCTATGAAACAATATTTAAATTTTGTTTGAATTTATATCAGTATTCATGCACTATTCAATAATAGTAGTATGCCCTTGTTTTCCACATGTATCATAATCATGAATCATACAAATTTTTATGTTATGATTGTTGTTATGCATTGTACATATCTTGATATCTTGCTTTTCCTTAAAAATTTCCTGTGAGATCAAAAAAGTTTCCTGGCAGCATGCTGCCATGCTGGCGGATTTTGTCATGCCTTGGACGTCATAGAGCCCCCTTGGAAAATCCCCCACCCGCAATCTAGTGTAGTTGGTTTAGTGCAAGTGTGAAGTTTCGTCTGGGGTCGCTTAAATGTTCAAAGCACGATTAGCGTTAGAATTTAATCTATACTGCTTACAATATAGGCTTGTGTGTTTCTACATTTATTGTCTGTTCTTGATGCTGACAAGATTTCTGGAAACGTATTTCCAAGTTTATGAGCAAGCTGTTGGAAAGTACATTTGTTTAAAAATTTTCCTTAACCCTGGATTAAGCTAACCGGCTTTCGAATAACTGGCCCCAGCTGTTTTGGTTTGTGTATTTCTGCACGTCCCTATATTTTACAACTTTAGAGAATTAAACTTCAATGACCCACACATGATTTTGGGACAGCTACAATTCATGTTTATAAACAAGTGATTAAAATGCTTTGACGCTTTTCGTTACCCTGGATTACGTCATTTTATTAACATACTGATATCAATAAACACTTCACCCCGGGATTTGTCATTCAAGATAAGAAATATTTCAGCATTAGCTGATTAGTCTACAGGGTGTATAAAAAAAAGCGCAATCCTCGACTGAAATGTAAATTGCTAAACAAATAATAGACGAAAACGTTAAAGTTTACATTCATTTTAAAGCGTAGCCATTCAGCTTTCTAACAGTGGGTTGTTTCTTAAATTTGACTCATTGGTTCGCGGGTAATAATACTTTACGTTATTGCGATTGGAGATTAAAGACGTGTGCTCTTCCGATCTATAGTGTGAAGTTTCGAATTGAAAAAGACACTGCAAGAACTATATAGGGTTGCCGACAACCTAGAAAGGCTGATGGATTACACTACGAAATAAACAGTTACCAAAGGCATTTCATCATCTTCATTATCTACTTTATAATGCGTTCGGCACATGAGTAGCGCCACGTTTAAAACAAGCCTAACAGATCAGAAACGTACCTCGTGGAACTGATACAATTTATTTATTTATTTATTGTGATGCTACACGCGACAACTCGAAATTTAAATTGTTTCAACAACACCCAAATTTTGCATATTCTAAAACTTCATTTGCATTTGCAGCTGTCGCTAAAAGCATCCTAACGAGGCTACTGATACGCTGAACTTATTTAATATGATTATTCCCATCACCCAAATAGCTGTATAAGATGTAATGAATAATAAGCACTACGACGTTGTATCATTAAGGGAACGCATTTTATCCCCATCCGTTCTATATTTTATCCCCATATCCGTTCCGTGGATCCGCTCCATCCGCTTCCGCATTTTTTAACCTAATTGTGACATGTTTCACAATAACAAGTCTGAATGTCGAGTGTATCTAAAAGTCGAGGTCGAGAGTCGAGAGTAAAGATCGAGAGTCGAGAGTAAAAGTCGAGAGTCGAGAGTAAAAGTCGAGAGTCGAGAGTAAAAGTCGAGAGTCGAGAGTAAAAAGTCGAGAGTCGAGAGTAAAAAGTCGAGAGTCGAGAGTAAAAGTCGAGAGTCGAGAGTAAAAAGTCGAGAGTCGAAGTAAAAAGTCGAGAGTCGAGAGTAAAAAGTCGAGAGTCGATCGAGAGTAACTGAAAAGTGGGAGAGTCGGCAAAATTGTCATCAGAAACAACAAAGTCAAAATATTTTTAACACGATATATATCAACCGATCCGTAACAACGGCTGATTATAGCCGTATGGGCGAGGGGGGGAAAAGTCGAGAGTCGATCGAGAGTAACTGAAAAGTCGAGAGTCGGCAAAATTGTCATCAGAAACAACAAAGTCAAAATATTTTTAACACGATATATATCAACCGATCCGTAACAACGGCTGATTATAGCCGTATGGGCGAGGGGGGGGGGAGGCAGTCCCGCCCCCCAGTCAAAATAAAGTCATGCAAATCATTATGAACGTATAAATTCGGGCAAAAATTGGGGGAAATAAATTTAAAAAGAAGA